ACACTGTGCATAATATTGTGTACTAGTGTATTAATGGATACCTGTCAGTATATTGTGTACTAGGTGTATTAAGTGATACCTGTGCAGTAATATTGTGTACTAGGTGTATTAAGTGGATACCTGTGCAGTAATATTGTGTACTAGGTGTATTAAGTGGATACCTGTGCAGTAATATTGTGTACTAGGTGTATTAAGTGGATACCTGTGCAGTAATATTGTACCAGGTGTATTAAGTGGATACCTGTGCAGTAATATTGTGTACCAGGTGTATTAAGTGGATACCTGTGCGCTGAGTGTCTCCAGGGGGCTCTGGACACGGGGGAAGGTCATTAGGGGGAGACCACGGTAATCTTCATTCTTCTGTTTGGTGGGGGTGGAGTGAGCTCCTTTAAAGTTGTTCACCACACAGATACCCTGAAGGACACAGGAGACAGAATGTCACTCAAACATTCCCTGACATGACACCTTCCCAGAGCAAAGGGTGAACAGTATTAGGGTTCCCACTCTTACACACATTACAAATACCATGATCCCATTTTCATGACTACAGCAAAGAATATCCAAGACAAGAGCCAAGCGCACACTGGCCAATTAATACATTTGATCCATTTATAAAATTGACCCGTGGGCAATGTTCCCTCAAAAATGTCATTTATTTAGGCACTGAGCAAATCTCAGGTCTGCTGATGCCAAACTTGAACATTGTGAAAATTCTGTTCAACTTCCGGTGCGCGTTTACTGTGAACACTGAGGCTGTACCCGCTTTAAGTTACAGTTTTAACAGTGGCCAAGTAGGCTACTGTGGCTATTTGATCATAATGTAGGCCTACCAGAGTGGCCTACCATCAAAAACAATGGAGGAAATGCAGCTCTGATTGGATATGGTGCACCGGTCTGTGTAGGGTATGGTCTGAGTCAATACAATACAATACTGTCAATACAATAGAATCCTACTCTGATGCATTCTGCCTACAACAACATCTCTTGCAGTTAGTTTTGCATACTAAGTCTTGCATAGTTCATTTTGTTTTGGTATATTACATTGAAAGTGGCTAATATTGCATATTGATTAGATCACAATTCCCACAGCAGAGCCAAACGTTGATAGTGTTAATTAACTAAAAGGGGAAAACTCTAGAAAGTTAAAAAGTTCACATCTCGTGCTTCTCTGCGCGGGCTGATATTTCATCTGCGTGGCAGGGGAGGGGAGGGTGCTCAGCTTAGAGGGAACATTGCCTGTGAGAACCCTTTAGCTGCTGACCAACAAGAATATTAGACATCCTCATCAGGAAGATCAGCCCCCATTGTGTGCTAAAAGAGATCAAAATGAACAACCAAGCAGGTAAACGGCCGTTAGTCCTCACCAGGAAGAGAGCGATAGAGCTACCAAGGATGAACCCAGCGATGACGTCAGAACAGTGGTTCCGGTACTCCGAGACCCGGTTGAGCCCGGTGAGGAAGGCTGTACACAGGGTACCCAGGCACAGCACCGGTTTGGCCAGGCGGCTACTCATGGTCTTTATGGTGCTAGTGATGTACATCTGGAACAGGGAGAGACACGGTGAAAGGGGGAACTGTCTCTATGGTGTCTGCCCTGGAGAGGATGTTATAGAATTGGCTTTTGAAGAGCTAAACATCAACTTCCTCGAACCAGTACAGAGTAGTAGATCAGGTGATGGCCTCAATTGTACAAACTGCTGATACGTCATCATTACCATTCTCATCATCATATCATAGTCAATAATACTAAAGCTAAAAACGTCTCATCAACATCATATCATAGTCAATAATACTAAAGCTAAAAACGTCTCATCAACATCATATCATAGTCAATAATACTAAAGCTAAACATTTCTCATCAATGTCTCACCAAGTTGGGCCAGTTCCAGCAGTACTCACATTGACGTAGACAGCTGAGTACACACAGAGAGCCATGTAACAATGACTACAGTCAATACTACTAATACTGCTGACGTTAATACTCATTCTGATTATCATAACCCTTACCGTGACATAGACAGCTGAGTAGACGCTGAGCGAGGCGTCTTTGGAAGGGAAGGTGCGTCGAGCCTTCTCCACGACGACCGGGCTGCCAGTACAGATGTTACCGTTGGAGATGAACTGGTGGTTGAAGCGACACTCAGTGCCCGTGTAGTTGGGCTTACACACAGACAGGAAGTACGGCGCCAGGTTCCCCGTCACCACCTGGCCCGCATTTACAAAGATGTCTGTTGCAAACAGACCGAACGCAAACACACCTGGAGGGAGGGAGAGAGAGACAACAGAGAGAGACAGCGAGAGACAGAGACAGAGAGACAGAGGACATCGAGAGAGAGAGAGAGAGAGAGAAACCCAGAGACGAGACAGAGAGAGACAGAAGAGAGACCAGAGAGAGAGACAGAGAGAGAGGAAATAGAGAAGACGAGATAGAGATACAAGAGCAGAGAAGAGCAGAGAGAAGACAGGGGAAAAAAACAGAGAGAAAAACAAAGAGAAGAAAAAAGAGGAGAAAAGAAGAAAAAGAGAAGGAAGGAAAGAGAAGACAAAAGAGGAAGAAAAGACCAACAAAAAAAGAAGAAAAAAAGAGAGAGACACAAAAAGGAGAGAGAGAGAGAGAAAACACAAAGAGAAAGCGAAGAGCAAGAGGGAGACAGAGAGAGAAGAGGGACGGGGAACAGAGAGAGAAGAACGAGAAGGAGACAGAAGGAGGAAAACGAAGAAGACAAGACAAGACAAAAACAAGAGAGAAAGGAGAAGAGCGAGACAGAGAGACAAGAGAAAGAGAGGGAAGAAGAGCGGACAAGGACGAGAGAGAGAGGACAAAAGAGGAGACAAGAGAGATACAAGAAAGAGAGGGGGGAACGAGACAGAGAGAGAAGAGAAGCGAGGGGAGAGGACAACAACAAGAAGAGACAAACAGAGAAGAGAGAGGGGAGGAGAGAAAGAGAGACAGGGGAAGGACAGAAGACAAAAAAAGGAGAGACAGAGAGAGAGGAGAGAGAGGAGACAACAGAAGAGAAAAAGGAAGAGAGAGGGCGAGACAGAGAGAAGAAAGAGAGAGGGAGGAAAGAGAGAGAACGGGAAAAGAAAACGGGAGAAAGACAGGGAAGAGACAAACAGAAGAAACAGAGAAGAGGAGAGAGACAGAGAGACAAAGGACAGAGAACAAAAGAGAAAAAGAGAGAGAGAGAAAAAAGGAGAGACCAGAGGACAGAGAGAGAGAGAGAGAGAGAAGAGAGAGGTAGAGAGAGGACAGAGGACAGAGACAGAGACAGAGAGGGACAGAGAGACGAGAGGACAGAGAGAGAGAGAGAGAGAGAGAGAGACAGAGACAGAGACAGAGACAGAGACAGAGACAGAGACAGGGGGTTTAGCTCCAATCTGTAATTCCACTGGGTCCCTGATGAAGTCAATGTTTACAGATGAGGAATTATATTACCATTAGCCACCAGAAACAATTAAAACTGTAATTGAGGAGTGCCCTACGGCCCAAATGGCACCCTTTCCCCTTTATAGTGCACTACTTTTGACCAGGGATCATAGAGAGACCCACAGGGATCTGGTCAAAAGTAGTGCACTATATAGAGAATAGGTTGGCATTTGGAACACATCCCTTGAAGTAATGAATTATATAATGAGTGCTTTGGCTCCTGACATGCATGGTAAGCAGTGGTGTTCATACGGATGACTGCCTCATGCATGGTAAGCAGTGGTGTTTATACGGATGACTGCCTCATGCATGGTAAGCAGTGGTGTTCATACGGATGACTGCCTCATGCATGGTAAGCAGTGGTGTTCATACGGATGACTGCCTCATGCATGGTAAGCAGTGGTGTTTATACGGATGACTGCCTCATGCATGGTAAGCAGTGGTGTTTATACGGATGACTGCCTCATGCATGGTAAGCAGTGGTGTTTATACGTATGACTGCCTCATGCATGGTAAGCAGTGGTGTTCATACGGATGACTGCCTCACATGAAACTAGATGCTTCATTTCCAATGTTCCTGAAATATGACTTTATTATCTGCTATTTATCTTGTAATTCTCTGCCTGGCTGTGCCGCTCTGTCTAAGGGGTCCTGTGTTCTGAAGGGAGAGGCTGAGAACGTCCCAAATGCAACCATATTCCCTATATAGTGCACTACTTTTGACCAGAGCCATATGTGTGCTGATCAAAAGTAGTGTACTATGTAGGGAATACGGTGCCATTTTGGGATGCACTGTAACACAGACGTAGTGTAACATTGTGTCATTGAGCACGGTAACACAGACGTTCTATTATAGAGACTGGATGAATGTCAATAGAAACAGTGAAGAAACTCAAGAAAGGTGCTATTTCCATGTTGGAGAGCTCCAAAATCCTCTTATAACTACAGCTTCTATCATACTAACCGAATGGGTCCCATTGCATGTTTACCTGCAGCAGATGTTTGTATGAAATCAGTAACTGAAAGGTTGCTGGTTCGAATCTCAGAGCCGACTAGGTGAAAAATCTGTTAAAATGTGCCCTTGAGCAAGGCACTTAACCCTAATTGCTCCTGTAAATCACTCTGGATAAGAGCGTCTGCTAAATTACTAAAAAAAAGTGTACAAATACAATACAATAGTTTGCTAAGAGTTGGCTCCTCAACATGTAACTATGTTCAACGTCTAATATACAAGTAACACAACCACCACTGACAAGACCAGTAGGTCACCAATAACTCACCGATAAACCTGATGATTCTCCGGATAAGGGGGTTCAGGTAACAGCATTCCCCCGTCACCATGGTCTTCTCCTGGGTTAGTAGCACCGCCCGTGTGGACTTCATGGTGTACATGGATACCTCTCCGATGAAGATCTGACGACAGAGAGACACAGTGTGACGACACAGTTACACTGAGAGTACAAAACATTAACACCTGCTCTTTCCATGACATAGACCCAAACGAGGGCACTACGTTCATCCACCTCTGGCCTGCTAGCTCCCCTACCTCTACGGAAGCACAGTTCCCGCTCAGCCCAGTCAAAGATATTTGTAAGTCGCTCTGGATAAGAGCGTCTACTAAATGACTTAAATGTAAATAGATCAGGTGAATCCAGGTGAAAGCTATGATCCCTTATTGATGTCACCTGTTAAATCCACTTCAATCAGTGTAGATGAAGGGGAGGAGACAGGTTAAAGAAGGATTTTTAAGCCTTGATATAATTGAGAGGGTGAATGGGCAAGACAAAATACTTAAGTGCCAACAAGGTATGGTAGTAGGTGCCAGGCGCAGCGGTTTGTGTCAAGAACTGCAACGCTGCTGGGTTTTAACACGCTCAACAGTTTCCCGTGTGTATCGAGAATGGTCCACCACCCAAAGGACATCCAGTCAACTTGACACAATGGTGGTAAGCATTGGAGTCAACATGGGGCAGCATCCCTGTGGAACGCTTTCGACACCTTGTAGAGTCCATGACCCAACGAATTACCCCTGACACCTAGCCCTGACACCCAGCCCTGACACCACCCAGCCCTAACACCCAGCCCTATCACCCAGCCCTGACACCCAGCCCTAACACCCAGCCCTAACACCCAGCCCTAACACCCAGCCCTAACACCTAACACCCAGCCCTAACACCCAGCCCTAACACCTAACACCCAGCCCTAACACCCAGCCCTAACACCCAGCCCTGACACCCAGCCCTAACACCCAGCCCTGACACCCAGCCCTGACACCCAGCCCTGACACCCAACCCTGACATGGCAATGTTAACACAGATACGCAGCACAATAACAGGTCCACAGTGCAACCCTGAACCCAGTAGACTAATGATTTACATGGATACCTCCTCAATGAATATCTGAGAACAGACAGACACAGTCAGACCACAGAGTTATCCAACTTAACCTTAACCCCAGCCGTAACACCTAAGCCTAACAAATCAAATCACATTGTATTGGTCACATTCACGTGTTTAGCAGATGTTATTGTGGGTGTAGCGAAATGCTTGTGCTTCTAGCTCTGACAGTGCAGTAATATCTAACAAGTAATATCTAACAATTTCACAACATATACCCAATACACACAAATATAGTAAGGAATGGAATTAAGAATATATAAATAAATATATGGAGGAGCAATATCAGAGCGGCATGGACTAAGATAAAGTAGAATATTATAGAATAGAATAAAGTATATACATATGAGATGAGTAATGCAAGATATGGAAACATTATTAAAGTGACCATTTATAGATTTAACCCCTAGCCTCAACCGCTAGCCTCAACACTATAACCCCTAGCCTCAACACTATAACCCCTAGCCTCAACCCCTAGCCTCAACCCCTAGCCTCAACACTATAACCCCTAGCCTCAACACTATAACCCCTAGCCTCAACACTATAACCCCTAGCCTCAACCCCTAGCCTCAACCCCTAGCCTCAACCCCTAGCCTCAACACTATAACCCCTAGCCTTAACACTATAACCCCTAGCCTCAACCCCTAGCCTTAACACTATAACCCCTAGCCTCAACACTATAACCCCTAGCCTCAACCCCTAGCCTTAACACTATAACCCCTAGCCTCAACCCCTAGCCTCAACACTATAACCCCTAGCTCTAGCACACACAGACACAACACATTCATAAACACAGATACACATTTTATTTGTTAATACAGTGTATCTGAGTAGTTTTCCATCCATGACAAACCAACAGTCTATATACATTCTAAATCAATTTTCAAGAAGTACATTTTTCGGTATTTGAATGTTGTGGAAAGAGCTTTTTCTGTCCAAGGACAGTGTTAGGAGCTTCCTGTCCTGAGGCAATGTGGTAGCTTCTATAAAGAGGACAGTGTTAGGAGCTTCCTGTCCTGAGGCAATGTGGTAGCTTCTATAAAGAGGACAGTGTTAGGAGCTTCCTGTCCTGAGGCAATGTGGTAGCTTCTATAAAGAGGACAGTGTTAGGAGCTTCCTGTCCTGAGGCAATGTGGTAGCTTCTATAAAGAGGACAGTGTTAGGAGCTTCCTGTCCTGAGGCAATGTGGTAGCTTCTATAAAGAGGACAGTGTTAGGAGCTTCGTGTCCTGAGGTAATGTGGTAGCTTCTATAAAGAGGACAGTGTTAGGAGCTTCGTGTCCTGAGGCAATGTGGTAGCTTCTATAAAGAGGACAGTGTTAGGAGCTTCGTGTCCTGAGGCAATGTGGTAGCTTCTATAAAGAGGACAGTGTTAGGAGCTTCCTGTCCTGAGGCAATGTGGTAGCTTCTATAAAGAGGACAGTGTTAGGAGCTTCGTGTCCTGAGGCAATGTGGTAGCTTCTATAAAGAGGACAGTGTTAGGAGCTTCCTGTCCTGAGGCAATGTGGTAGCTTCTATAAAGAGGACAGTGTTGGAAAATAGCTTTATGTCCCCCCCCCCTCCCCCTACTTTCCCTGACAGCTACTTTATTGAGGGAAAGTCAACTTACTATGCCTGTGATATGTGGATGTTCCACCTAGCTATCTTAAGATGAATGCACTCACTGTAAGTCACTCTGGATAAGAGCGTCTGCTAAATGACTCAAATGTAAATGTAAGAACTCCAGAAATGGAGGCAGTAGATCTACGGTGTAGCAACAGTGCCATCTAGTGTTTGTTCTCTGAACTAATGAAACAAACATCACACTGGTCAGTGCTTCAGTGTCTCAGTGACTTCAAAACGATCTGTTTTGCCCAGTGAATCTAGCAGTCACAATTAAACCTAGAAACTACTATTTCAATAGAAATTAGGCTACTTATTGAGTGGATTATAATTAATGGAAATGTTTGTAGGGGTTAATAAATGTTTCGATAGGGTTAATAAAGTCTGACATTTTAAAAGTGGCAATTACGAACTTTAGAAGCCTTTTAAAAATTCAAATACAGGAAGATTCTCAGAGAGATGATGTACTGAGAGAGAGATGATGTACTGAGAGTGAAATGATGCACTGAGAGAGAGAGAGTGAGAGAAAGAGAGAGATTATGTACTGAGAGAGCGAGAGAGAGAAAGAGAGAGAGATGTACTGAGAGAGCGAGAGAGAGATGTACTGAGAGAGAGAGAGAGAGAGAGAGAGAGAGATTATGTACAGAGAGAGAGAGAGGGGGGGACAGACAGAAAGAGAGACACAGAAAGAGAGACAGACAGAGAGACAGTCAGTAACCTCGTACTCACGATGGTGGTGGGAGCAGCGGCGACCACACAGTAGAGGATGAGGGGAGGGATGAAGCTGCTCTCGTCCACCCCGGGGTATGGCTTCATCAGGTCAGCATCGTTGCAGAAGAACCCCTGGATGTGGATGCCGAACGTGTCGGTCAGCTCAAAGTAGTAGGCCAGCAGGACGGTCCCTGCCATTATCACCAGCTGGAGAGAGAACATCAGGTAGTAGTCAGTGTGTCTAACCTAACCAAACCAAACCTATCCACGCCTGCTGGGGCGGCAGCTAGTCTAGCGGTTAAGAGCGTTGGGCCAGTAAGCCAAAGGTCTCTGGTTCCAATCCCGGAGCCGACTAAGTAAAGATTTGTCAATGTGCCCTTGAGCAAGGCACTTAACCCTAATTGTTCCTGTAAGTCGTTCTGGATAAGAGCGTCTGCTAAATGACTAAAATGTCAAATGTACCTTAACACTTCTGACTGAAAATGCCTCAACACCACCAGTGAGGTCCCACCTCTAGCAGGCATCCCCTCTCTACAGTTTACCTCAATATTTTTTTTTATTTCACCTTTATTTAACCAGGTAAGCCAGTTGAGAACAAGTTCTCATTTACAACTGCGACCTGGCCAAGATAAAGCAAAGCAGTGCGATAAAAACAACAACACAGAGTTACATATGGGGTAAAACAAAACATAAAGTTAAAAATACAGCAGAAAATATATATACAGTGTGTGCAAATGTAGCAAGTTATGGAGGTAAGGCAATAAATAGGCCATAGTGCAAAATAGTTACAATTTCGTATTAACACTGGAATGCTAGATGTGCAAAAGATGATGTGCAAATAGAGATACTGGGGTGCAAATGAGCAAAATAAATAACAATATAGGGATGAGGTAGTTGGGTGGGCTAATTACAGATGGGCTGTGTACAGGTGCAGTGATCGGTAAGCTGCTCTGACAACTGATGCTTAAAGTTAGTGAGGGAGATAAGAGTCTCCAGCTTCAGAGATTTTTGCAGTTCGTTCCAGTCATTGGCAGCAGAGAACTGGAAGGAATGGCAGCCAAAGGAGGTGTTGGCTTTGGGGATGACCAGTGAGATATACCTGCTGGAGCGCAGACTACAGGTGGGTGTTGCTATGGCGACCAGTGAGCTAAGATAAGGCGGCAGAGATTTGTAGATGACCTGGAGCCAGTGGGTTTGGCGACGAATATGTTCTCTATCTAATAATACTCACAATGGTGGGTAGTAAATGGGGCTTTGGTGACAAAACGGATGGCACTGTGATAGACTACATCCAATCTGCTGAGTAGAGTGTTGGAGGCTATTTTGTAAATGACATCGCCGAAGTCAAGGATCGGTAGGATAGTCAGTTTTACGAGGGCATGTTTAGCAGCATGAGTGAGGGAGGCTTTGTTGCGAAATAGGAAGCCGATTCTAGATCTAACTTTTGATTGGAGATGCTTAATGTGAGTCTGGAAGGAGAGTTTACAGTCTAACCAGACACCTAGGTATTTGTAGTTGTCCAAATACTCTAGGTCAGACCCGTCGAGAGTAGTGATTCTAGTCGGGTGGGCGGGTGCCAGCAGCGTTCGGTTGAAGCAGGCAGCCTCTCTCTACAGTTTACCTCTAGCAGGCAGCCTCTCTACAGTTTACTAATGGTGCACATACATCTGCTTTCCTCTCCTCCTCCTCCTCCCTCTTTTCTCCTAGCATCCTTTCATCTCTCTCGTGTATAACTTCCCTAACGTCTGGCCTCTCCCTCTGAGACAGGGTCAGTGTCCCAAATGGCACCCTATTTCCTACATAGTGCACTACTGTTGAATTCAATTATGCACAAGGACTACATTTAACAATTTCCACTGAATATTTTACAAAAGAACATTTACTTGAAGAACAGTGCACATGCAAAGTTAGTTAACAGAATGACAGGTTGTGCTACTGGTGTCATTCTGATAGTATTAGACTAATCAATACCCACACTATAGTATTAGACTAATCAATACCCACACTATAATATTAGACTAATCAATACCCATACTATAATATTAGACTAATCAATACCCACGCTATAGTATTAGACTAATCAATACCAACATATTATTAGTATTAGACTAATCAATCCCACTAAATATTAGACTAATCAATACCACACTATAGTATTAGACTAATCAATACCACACTAAGTTGGACTAATCATACCCTACCTATAATATAGCCTAATCAATGCCACGCTTAATATTAGACTAACATACCCACTACTATGTATAGATAATCAATACCCACAGCTAAGTTATACTAATCAATACCCACTAAATATTAGACTAACAATACCACACATAGTATTGACTAATCAATACACAGCTATAATATTAGACAATCAATACCACGCTATAGTTAGACTAATCATTACCCAATATAGTATTAGACTAATCAATACCCACACTATAGTATTAGACTAATCAATACCCACACTATAATATTAGACTAATCAATACCCACACTATAATATTAGACTAATCAATACCCACACTATAATATTAGACTAATCAATACCCACACTTAATATTGACTAATCAAATACCCACACTATAGTATTAGACTAATCAATACCCACACTATAATATTAGACTAATCAATACCCACACTATAGTATTAGACTAATCAATACCCACGCTATAATATTAGACTAATCAATACCCACGCTATAATATTAGACTAATCAATACCCACACTATAGTATTAGACTAATCAATACCCACACTATAGTATTAGACTAATCAATACCCACACTATAATTATTAGACTCAAATCAATACCCACACTATAATTATTCGAATAATCAAATACCCACCCACTATTAACTATTCGACTAATCAAATACCCCACCACTATAATATAGACTATCAGTACCCACACTATAAATTAGACTAATCAATACCCACACTATAATATTAGTCTAATCAAATACCCACACTATAATATAGATAATCAAAAGCCACACTATAATATTATACTAATCAAATACCCACACTATAATATTAGACTAATCAAATACCCACACTATAATATGTGACTAATCAAATACCCACACTATAATATTAGACTACCCAAATACCCACACTATAATATTAGACTAATCAAATACCCACACTATAATATTAGACTAATCAAATACCCACACTATAATATTAGACTAATCAAATACCCACACTATAATATTAGACTAATCAAATACCCACACTATAATATTAGACTAATCAAATACCCACACTATAATATTAGACTAATCAAATACCCACACTATAATATTAGACTAATCAAATACCCACACTACCTCTGGGATTTGTCCTCTGCTAACACCACCCATAGCCTTTTGGGAGTTACTGCATTACAAAGAAAAACACAGGTAACCTAAAATGCATATCCCAATACAACTTCTAAGGGCCCTTCAGAAAATGTCTCACATCAGATTATATCTATAGCATATGGCACATTCTAACTGTATGTGACTAGTTTCAGGAAACAAGGCGTATGTCGCGAGTCACTACATCACAGAAGCCATTTGAACGTAAACTTTTTTTAAAAATCTAAATGCGTTTTTTTTGGGCAGAAATGCCTTCTGGAACATGTGAACGTTCATGTGCCTTAATAACAAACTTGTATGCCGTCTGTAAAAATACGAAAACATTTTAAATTAATTACGAGTCTAGGAGACAGGAACCTTCCCGCTAGCCATGATTGGCTGAGATAATGGATTGGCTGGACAAGCCGGGAGATGAGTTTGGATTGGTCTGCCATGTAGCATGTTTCTGTCTATAACGTGAGCTGCTCAGTATGTGTTGATTGTCCTTTCTACCGTGCCTTTTTTGAAAGATATAAAGTTAGCCATCGAGAACTACAAAAGTTTTGCTACTTTTTTGCAACAACATTGATGCCCTGAATTTAGCAGGCGCCATCGACAGATCAGTTGGAAAAAGTTGTGATGGGCTACTTTCTGCACACGCCACGGTCAGTGTGAACCGGAGATGGGTGGGGTTAAGGCTTTAGAGGATGTGAACGATGCTGAATGGGTGTAAACAAAGAAGAGAAAACTCAAAGAAGAACTGTTTCCAGATTTTTAGAGAATGTTTCACAATAGGGTTTTTAGTGTATATGGAAACAGGCTCAGCTAATGCAAGTTTTGAGCAGAGGAAAGGGGGATACCTAGTCAGTTGAACAACTGAATGAATTCAACTGAAATGCGTCTTCCGCATTTAACCCAACCCCTCTAAGGCAGCTATGGAGGTGGGGCCACAGGATGACATCTCCAAGGTCAACCATTCCGGGGCTGTAACATCAGAGATTTCTGTCATCCATAGAATGATTCTTATATTAGCTGCCCAGTAATAATATTGAAAGTTCGGAAGTGCTCGACCACCCTGGGGTTGAGGTCTCCGCAATGCACTTTTACGTATCAAAGGGTTTTTCTTGTTCCAGATAAAAGCAGATATCAGTTTATCTATGGAGATTTTAAAAAAATGATTGTCAGAAAGTTAGGAATACATTGAAATAAGTATAAAACGTAGGTAATGCATTCATTTTAACAGTGTTAATTCTTCCACCCAAAGATAGAGAAAGTAAATCCCAGCGTTCAAGATCCTGTTTTAGGTGGAGTGTCAAGGGAGGGAAATTGGCTTTATAGAGATCTTTGAAATCGTGTGTAACTCAAATATTTCAATATCTATGTAGTCACTCTGAAGGGCACATGACTAAAATAAGTTTGCATGGGAGAAGGATTAAAAGGCATCAATTCACCTTTTTGTAGATTAACTTTATACCCAGATATTTTACCAAATGTCTTTAGTACATCCTGGATCTCTGGAAGACCAGGTCAAGGGTCAGACATGTATAATAGCATATCATCTGCATAGAGTGAGACTTTATGCTCTAAGCCCCCTCTTCGAATACCTTTAATAGTGGTGTTATTACGTATTGCTATGGCTAAAGGCTCGATTGCGATGGCAAACAGCTGAGGGGATAGAGGACAACCCTGTCTTGTCCCACGTTGAAGTAGGAGACAGGATGAAAGGTTATTATTTGTGCGCACTGCAGCCATAGGGGAGGAGTAAAGGACTTTGATCCTGGATACAAAATTGGAACCAAAACCATATAGTTTGAGAGTATAAAAAAGATAATCCCACACCACCCGATCAGCATCAAGT